TCTTCAATAATGAATACCAGTAAAATTTGGAAGATAAAATATAGTAGTAGTCGTCCGAAGTGTGTGACAACGTGTGTTTTAATTTTTAAATTAAAAAAAATTCTCTCAGATACAATACAAACAGTGAAAGTGTGTTAAAAATATTTTTCACTTTTTAGGCACATAAAAATCTAATCAATGTAAAATATTATCTTTAAATATCTTTCCATGTTTTTTAACATTAAACGTCTGTCCTCTAAATTCTCTTCTTATTTATTTACTCCGCTATGTTCCCACATTTTCCTCGTTTCATTGTCCTTTCTTATTTCGATATCACCATACAAACTATTAAAAAAAAAAAATTATTTTAAAACATTATCTAAGCAAAAAAGTAGTATGTATATCTTCATTGTATATTTCGTCGATTTTCACTTCTCAGTTCTTTTATTACTAGTTCGCGTCTTTCATTTCATTCAAATAATTATCTTTTTAACCTTCTGCCTTGAAAATTTCAATGGTAGATATAATAGACCAACAAATCCAGTGAAGTTTTTTAAATTAAAAAAGTTTGTATCGCAAGAAAAAATGTAATAAACGTTTATAAATTTCTTTATACGTTGTTATTTTTATTGTTTAAAATTTATTTCTATGGTACGTCTCTTTTGCTTTTCCATTTTATATCAGCGAGAAGAATGCGAGAAGCAATTCTCACGTTATCAATGTTACCGTAACGGTGCCAGTAGAATACAGAAGGTTAATTTTGTTTCATTTAAGCAATATCGCTCTATTAGACTAATTGTTAGTTCGTCAAAAGGCAAATTAACGTAATAATATTTGATGTCCTTGTTGTTAAAGGAAAATAGGGAAATCTCTAATTCAAGAAACTTGGCTGATATTAAACACAATACAGTGAAACATTTGTAACGAGAACATCCAACAAAATACAATATTTTTACCATTCTTTTTCTTTTTTTTTTTTACTAAACCATAAATCGAACCAACATCGAATTATCTACGTAAATATTAACCCCAAAGTATTTTCCCATCGAATTCCTAATTTCTCGTGAAATTTTATAAACAACATCGTAACACTCTGACGCAATATTATTCCAATAAAAAAGAATTCCGTAATTTGCTCGAAATTCATTAACCTTACGATGAAAATTTTAATGATACAATCGACTCTAACACATTTTCATAATGAAACTTTTTAAATCCGATAGCTTTTTTTTCGAAATGGAACAGATTATAAATGTTCGTAAATCGATTTATATCTTAGCCTTCCACCTCTCAAAGACGTTATTCCACAAGAACGAAGAATGAAGCGGATACGATTTCTTTTATACTTAACAGTACTTTATTGTTGACATTATTACACGTTATTATAAATCTATCATCTTGACACGTATAATACTTACTAAATCTACAGAGACAAGTGGTAACGGCAACCTATAACTAAACATACATTATAGCATCGGTACTTATTTTAGTAAAGGAACAAACAGACGTACCGCTTTACTTTCGTCACAATACCTTAACACACGACAGTTCAGAATCGACAAGATTAGTAAAATATACAGCGTTCGAATAATAATTCTGAATCGTTCTCGAAACTGTCACTTCTTTCTTTCATTTTCTTACTCTCGTCTCCATTTCTTTTCATCTTGTTTCGTCTTGTTTTTACACGAGAGGAAAAAGAAATGAATAACACTCGCGATCGACTATTTATATGATACATTTAACTTAACATTAAAAATCTCTACAACTCTAGATCGATCGGCTGTGAATTTGTCCAAGTATAAAAGACTATCGAGTAAATCGTTTTGTACCCAAACGTCGACAATACGGTTTAGAATCGGTGTTTTCCTCGGCTCTATCGATCTTTCCCTTCTTTTAACTGACACAGATCGAACGGAATCTATGAAATCTCGTGAAATGTCTGCTCCTCTGCTCGCAGAATGCTTAACCCTCTATAACACCGAGACACTCGGATCTTGCGTACTCGTGCACTTGTGTTTTCGAATTTCTATTCTATTTATCATTCTGCTATAACATGTAAAAGATCCGTTTCAATGTTTCAGATTCTTCACCTAGATTCTCAAACGCTATATCTATCATCCTTCACCTATAATACCAACTACGTACAATTCCATGTATTTTTGCGTGAAATGATTTTACTGAAGCTCTTCTGCCTATTCTCTTCGCAATGGTAAAACGAATTTTCACGAAATGTAATTCGTTTTTCCATTTGTATCTGGACCTAGTCGTTCTCTGGCCAAAGTTGTATTTACACGATATCAACCTGTTAATCGAATCGTCTCTTAACACTAGAACTACCGGTAGTTAACATGAAGCTACTGGTATCAAAAACAATGAAAATGACTGGTTTTTAAAAAATACATAATAATAGAATATTTTTATAGTTAATGATTTATTACTTTCTTACAGAAGCAATTCCATGTCATGTAGTACATTTTTGGTATTGTTAATCCATCTGGGACCATGATCGACCTAAAGGAGGGTTCACACTTTTATAAAATTGTAGAGCCAGTCATTTTGAGTGCTGTGAATTTTCCTGATAACCGATATCATCATATTGAATGATACGCGGTAAAAATTTAAAGAACGTGTGGCAAATAGTAGAAAAAGAGGAAACTGGTTAATTGGGGTTCGATAAACAGATTGCAGGACCCTTTTACACTTTGACAAGTACCAGTCATTTTCACTGGTATTGGTATAAGTAGCCTTGATACAAAATTATTTTCAGTCTGAATACATAAAAAATAAAATAAAATTCATTATATTATTCTTTTAGTTATCGTTGCAAAAGTCATTACATTATTCCAGGAAAAAAATATAACATGAAGTAGGAATTTTAAAATAAAATTGTAAAACCAGTCGATTTGAATGATGTGGTAGTTCTAGTGTTAATTAGAAATTTCTATAATTATGCCTATCATGTCTTCTATATATTATTACTTCTGTAACAATAGAGAAAATCAATTGAAATTTGGTCGGTCTCAGTCCTCGTAAATATACACATGACATAATTTGTTTCTAAAACGATACGTAGATAGATAAAGCACGTTTGAACGTAGAAATTACTATGTCGAAGGAATCGGTAATCTTGACGAATCCACTCGTCTTTCCCCATTCAGGGGTTAGTTAAATTATATTATCAATCTGTGTTGTTGATTTTCCAAAATTTCTTCCAGTATCACCAGTCTTCGACATGAAGAATACAATAGAGAATGACGATATTTTATTTGATGAAAACGAACATTTCACGTCGCTATTCGACTGTACGCTACTTCCAAATTTTCTGATCGAAATCAGAAATCAATTAAGAATTTGTCAATCTGCTAAGCAAACATGTCGGTTATAGAGGGCTAATGCATTACCAATGGAACACGTTCTCGATCAGACATTTTTCCAGCATCGATGTGAAGAATTTTATGTTGCGGATGTGTCAGATTAAAGTCAGAATTTTAATCTAACGCTGGAACAAATTTAGAAGCAACAATTCTTCTGACAAAGAAAATCTATGAATAAGATAATGAAGCGTCATGTATCACAAATTACGCAGATAATTTTCAATATATATCGGTAGAAACTATTTCACATTTCGAAAATATTTGTTGCAGAAGATCGGCTTTTCTCTATTTTACGTTGTTAGATCATTCTTTGGATGTCGATGTGTCGGAGATTTATTTTTCCCGAAGGAGTCGCCAGCTTCGCTATTAGAACAATGATTTTCGTTATCACGACGTGCATCGTTCACACGACTTGAAAACACGCACGAATCGGCTATGTAATCAGATCTACATAAACGAGAACGATAACGAAAATAAGGAGCCTTGAAACGAATAGAAAACGAACGAACGTCTCGTTGTTGCTTCTGGTTTAACGCGTCACGTGCCATGCGGGTCACACGTATTCCATTTTCATTCACCGGAGAAGAGTATTCTACGGGGTTTGATCTTGAAATGAAACGCAGAAAAGCAGGCGAAGATACGAAGCATACCGATAAAGTAATATCTTTGTTATTCGACGAGTACTTTGAATATTCTCCTTGAATATCTTTGAGTGCTTCGCGATATTGTATATTCATAATTGAATGATTTTGAGTATTTTTAAATATTATTCTTCAAAGGTTTTCAATGCTTCCTAACACTATTTTTTCGTATCATTGAACATAACTGTTAAATTTTTCTGTATATTCTCGGATATCCTTCATTTTTTAACGTTTTCAAATAGTATTTTTTATTTGATACTCTTGAATAACTTTGAATATTATTCTTGAATACTTTTTCAATGCTTGCAAAATATCGTTTGCTATCGTATCCCTGAAAACCTTCATAGGATAATGTCGAATAGTATTTTTAGATCTCTTTGAGCAATTTTGAATACCATTCTTAGATACCATGAAGTATCTTCCAATACTTCTAAATTCTTTTCGATGTTATTCCCCATTATATTATCTTCAATATTACATTAAATATCAAGTTTTTCAATTTACTCCTTAAAATTAATTAATTAAATTATAGAATTTCCAAACTTTCTAATTACAAATTATCTATTCTCCGCGACACGGGACGCGTTAATAAAAGCAGACTAGCAATTTGTACATATCGTTCGATACTTTTATTCGTTAGAATATTTCTAAACAATTGTAAGAACCAAACTATAGCGTCGTTCGATAAAAGTCCAGTTGGTATTTAATTAACGAAATTCCTAAACATACTTAACCTGCTTTTCGATCAACGAAATACAAATGCGACCGGATTCGTTGCACAAATGTTACGCTGCGCTGTTACGTTCTCCTGCAATAATTCTTATCTGACAATCGTCATCGTACACGTTCGAGGAAAATTCACTAGTGGCTGGTATGTACACGCGTAGACCAACACATACGTAATCGTCATGGATGCGTATCTTTGCAGGGATTAATTGTAAATTATTCCATTCTCTTTTCCCGTGGATCCCTGCACATGCGTCTTATGCACGTTTAAAAACGCTCGAAAACAGACTCAAACACGCTGTTTCTGTATTAAAGTCGTCGACAAATTTCCGTCGAACTGTCGTTTCGCATTTCTTCCTTTCTCCTATTATTTGCGCGTAATTGTCTTCTTTTGAAAATCTGTTATAGAAAATCTTTCATCGAACAGCGAACGAGAAACATTTCCAAAGAAATATTTCTCTTCGCTGTGTGTCATTGCGCAATTAAAATCTCTATTTGAGGAATTGAAACGACAAATGACGTTAGTACCAACAAAAGGTCCAAATCGATTTTTCTATTAAGAGGAAATATAAATTTCACGTAGAATAAGAAGAGGAAAGTTATCGGTATTAAAATAGTTTATTGTAGCTTCTAGAGTTGTAATCGTAAATCAATCGTTTTTAAAAGATAGAAGAATAGCGTAGACGAATTTGTAATACAAATAAAATGTAACTAATGAAAAACAATTCCTGATACGCAATTTATTCTTTTTCTAAATTTATTAAATTGATAAACGCTGAAAGTCTATAATGTCCAGGCGTGATAAATTGCGCAAATGGTAAAATTAATAGAAACGAATATTTTTTCTATGGAAAACCTTCTAACGTTTACAAGTCATTTGCAATTTCAACCCCTCAATTATAATTTCCTACAGTATAAAGTATTCTTTATGTGACTTGTTTCTTAGTACGGCGAATAGGAAAGAATTTCGGTTGAGAGTTGTGCGAATTACACTTGTGATATTGGCAATTTGATTTGTTTATTAATTTCCCAATAGATTGCGTAATGGTACTTTCGGAAACATGTTTCTTAAGTCGTAATTGATTTTGCAGTGTATCTGGCAACTTTCTGGCGTTGATATATGGAAATTGGAAAGTTCACTTCGCCGAAATCTTCGATTTTCCTTCGATCTCCTCCGTCTGTATCTTCGATTTTATATAAATAATTAATTCTTTGGAATAAACATTTGTACAGTAGCATTTAATTTCTAAAGAAATTTTAAAGGATTCGGACCATTATGATCTTACATCAATGTCTGCTTCATACACTGCTCGGAAAAAAGAGTTAATTATAAAAGAGAAAAACAAAGATTTCGTAATGTAACGTTTAATCTCGTGAAACCGCTAAAAACCTCATCAAACGATGAAGCAGCTCTCAAAATATCGCCAATCTTCTAATTGTTAGGTTGCTGTGCAATAAATGGCAAATAAATGGATTGAAATGTGTCTGTGTTCATTACGTAACTATGGCAATGATTATTGTTCCTCTATCGCGATGAGGATTACACTTCTTAGAATAGCATGCCATTATGTTCGTGTATCTTTAAATAAAAATTTATCGGTGCAAGTCTTTCACAATAAGAATAATATTGAGATAATTCCAATATGAACAATGGTATCCATTCTTGTACGTTACAAATAATTCCAAAGAATCCAATTGAATTAAAAACTAACATTTTATTATTTTTTTATCCATTCCTCGAATTTATTGCCACGTATTCCTACATTTTCGAGCTTTTCGAAAATCTTCGTCGCAAAATTTTGCTTCCAGATAATTTACATTTTTCAAAGCGCTACGATGTTTTCTAAGATGTAAACGAGGCAGTAAATTACTAAAAAAAAAAAAACTTGCATATAACTGACAACGAATTGTTCTTGGCCGAATAAACAAAAATAATCAATACAGACACGAATCGACCATTAGTTTGCCAATCTAATGTTTCGAACAGTGTATCAAGTCGATTAGTCGAAAGTTTCTCCGCGTAAATCGTTTCCTAATAAACCAGAGAAACGAAAGGATTTGTGTTTCAAAGCTCGCGTTACTCGCACGCCGGTTAAAGATGTGCAGTTTCGTAAGACAATAAAACTCGATAAGGCTCGATCTTTGCAAATCGTTGCACGCGTTTTCGCTATGAAAACCTCCCGTATCGAGGATCGAACACGAGAATCAAAGGTACACGAATATGTTTCGTAGTACGGAACGCGAGCATCCCCTATATGTGTGTGTATTTCTTTTTATTTTTTTCGTACAACGCTATGTACACTAAAACGTCTACTTGACCGAAAACCCGGCCCGAGCTTTACATTAAATCCGATGAAGAGAACTGACCTCCCCTCTCTATCGCTCTCTGCCACCCTCTCCTACCCTTTCACTCGCGCATTCTCTCTTTTTCTCTCACACTCGCGCAAACAATAGAAAGCTGAGCAAAGATTTGTTCGAGGATGTGCGTGTGCATGTGTCTGTTCGTTTGCATACGTGTGTATACGTGTGTACGTGTGTATATTTACAGTGCCGAGATATTAATCTATCGTTTAAGAAGCCTCCGGCTAAGAATAGAGCACGGAGGAAAGAAAAAATATGTGAAAAATAAACGGGGTTGAAACAGAGAGGATGGAAAATTATGAAGTTCGATTCGCGAGGAATCGATTGTTCGTGACGACGCCGTACAGTCGCTAAGAATCGTTTCGACACGACCAAAGGGGATCTTTTCTCGTACTTAAACCACTACACTATTGCACTACACCTTTTTACAATTATCTCGACTCGTTCTTTTGTCCGTTCGTTCTTCTTTCTTTCTTTCTCTCTCTCTCTATTCTTTTTTTCTTGTTCTTTTTTACACAAGTGCTTGTCGAAGTTGAAATCTTTGGTTCCGTCGCTTCTCTTCTTTTGGTATCTAGCTATTTTATCACTCTTCGTAGTATGTATCACTATTCTTCCACATATTATACTTTTGATTTCTGATAATAACGCGGAAGTGAAAAATTCTTTGCTCCTCCAATGTTCTTTTCTATAAATTTTCCTCTTCCCTTCCATTCACCTTTACAGTCTGTAACCGCTTCTTCGTCACCCAAAATCCATCACGAATGTCGAAAACATTCTCCGCCGTTTCTCCTTGCCTGTCCACTGAAGTTCCCTTGAAAAAACTGCAATCTTCTCCGAAAACCAGAATCTCCAAGAAAAACCGAGATTTTAACGGAGATCCGGCCAATGCAGAGTGCCAGTCAGAAAGAATCTCGAAAAACTCGATCAAACAGATCCTCTAAACGAGAGGAGAGAAAGCCGACGCCTGACTCCTGATCTCCCTATGCTCCGACGGGCTGAGATCCAAC